AGCTGACTGAGCTCCATTAATGGACTGTAAAGTTAATATAGTGGTTATGACCTGCCTCTTACAAAATGGAGCAGGCCAGAACAAAATGAAGAGAATTGAATCAGATTAAAAATCCTAGAGGACACAGTGCATAAGAAGGGTATTGTGTTGTGAAAATTAGTTTTGCGTGTGGTTACATGCATACACACACATGTGAACTGGCTCATGGCGACAGTGTGTACTTGACCACAACTATGACTTGTAGTCAAAAAACCTAAAAACACTGAACTGATCCAATCTCCTCCTTTGGCAGAGCTTGGGAGGAGAGATTAGGTTGGGGCGCTGGCCCCCTCTTATGTTCTTTCCTCTAAACTTCTCTTTCTCCCAAAGCATAATTTATATCGACATCCATTTCCAGAGTTGGACATCCTCATTATTCTTGCCCATGCCCAGAGCCAGGGCCACGTCTGCCCAGAGGTGGGCCAGAGGTGTGCAACAGCTGACTCCCTGGAAAAAATAATATATGTGCTTGACATACATTGTACCTACCTAGCGTGTATCACACAACTTGTACATAATGAAACACACAACGCTCTTTATTATAGAGTCCATACAGCCAATTAATTCTCATGGAATGCTTTCATTGATTTTTGCTGAACTCTTATCTGTAGCCAACCTGCAATTGATGAATGAGCATAGTTTCAATGTGAATGTTATTTGATCGTTTTATTTGCATTAATGAGTAAGACAAATGTGAAACAATGAAGACAAGGGTTCGGTCAGAATGTCACTTCTTCTTCAGTTGACGGAAACTATTTCTGAGATGAATAGGATAAGAGTTTTTGAATTCTGGAAGAACAGTTCCAGATGCCAGAAGAAGGCATCACCTGGGGAGGGCGGGTCTTCTACATTTAGGGCTGTTGCTTGCCGCTGCCCTGTAGACGTTCACCCTTCAGCACACCTGCCCCACCGGGATCTGCCAGGAAGGGGTCTCTGGCTTTCGAGCTTGGGTTGCCTGTGGTAGGCTTCGTATGTTCACGGCAGTGGCTGCCGGAGAGGAAGTGTAGCCTAGGGGGCCAGACTCCGTGGCTGTGGACCCGTTATGAGCTCACCTGTTTCCAGCTGCTACCAGACCAGCTCTCGGCTCAGCCCCTCGAGCAGGAGACAGGCCCGCGGGTGCATCTGTGTGGGAGGTCACCCTTCTGGAAGAGTGTGATGGTTCTGTATGTACTGACATGAGATATTTCCTTTCCTAAGTAAATGCATTTTCTTTCCTTGATTAAATGAAAAAATCGAGTTTAGTTAGACCCAATTTTTGCTTAACATTTTGCTTAACACCATAGATGTTGTAAACACACATAGTTATTGAAGAAGAAAGGACTTTTATTTACTACTTTATGCATTTATACATTAGTACATATTTTGAGTGTTTTACAATGAGCATATATTACATTTCAAATGTTATATACATGCACACGTGAGAGAGTGACACAGTGAGGATAGAGAGAGAGGGAGAGAGTCTGAGCATATCTGTAGGCACCTTTCTGAGTATTTCTTTAGCTTATATTTTTCAGAAGTAGAATTCCTGGAAGTGGGATTGCTGTATCTGGAAAGTTCTTGGTGTATATATTGCAAAACTAGTCCACCAAATGGTTATACCAGTTAAACCTCTTACTACCAGTAAATGGATACTAACTTGCTTTAACCTTTAGTAATATTGGGTAATATCTTCAATAATTCCCAATTTAATAGATAAGATAGCATTTTATCTTAATTTCTACTTTTTTACTAGCTGGAATTTTAAGAACTCTGCGTATTTCTATCTTCCTTGTTGGTGGCTTACTGTTCTCTGCACATTTTTGTTCTCGTGGCGTTTCTCTTCTAATCTTGATTTTATTTTTTTCTCTTCCTGTAGTTGGTTGGAACGATTGAATTTTCTTTCTTCCATAGATACTTTTTAATATACAGGTTTACACTGGGTTTACACTATAATCGTATTCTTCAGCAGTTACCTATGGATTTGTAACATACTTACTTAGAACTACTTTTTTCTTATACTGCCCAGAAAGAGAAAACCGTTTTCTTCATCCTCCTGCCAAACAGGAGAATGGGATGGTGCCGTTCTCCCCTCTGGGTCCACACCTGTTCCCACCCCACCCCTCCACCCTGCAGGATATCACCTGGTATTTTACCTCCAATTTGGCATTTCACACATTATGTGTCACAATAACTACTCACCGAGATATTTATTTATTTAAAGAAAGCATGAGTGGGGCGGGGAGCGGCACAGCAGAGGGAGAGGGAGAGGGAGAGGGAGATGACCTCCAGCTGACTATGCCAAGCACAGAGCTGGACGTGGGGCTCGATCCCACAACCCCAAGATCATGACCTGAGCCAAAATCAAGAGTTGGACGCTTAACCGACTGAGCCAACCAGGCACCCTGATATTTAACCATGTATTTTACTCATTTTCTGTTAGTTGTTGCTTTTAAACCCTTCTCCTTCTTCCTAGAATCCTCTTTCTTATTTCTTGAGAATTTCTTCCACTTTTCTTTCCAGAGGGTCTTTTGTGTCCTTGTGTTTCTAAGAATGTTATCTATATATAAAGATATATCTCTCTAGATATAACTAGATAGATAAATTTATCTTCATTTATGTCATATATATTTACATGTTTATGTATTTATTTAAATGTATATTTTCTTAAAATCCCGTGCTCAGGGTTAACAGTAAATTTTGCTGATTTTTTGCCTGCTGTTGCTCCTTGTGCCCTTCTACTTCCTTGGCTTTATGCTTCTTATGAAAAATTTCCTATAGTAATGACTTCAGAGAGGTTCTGTCTTGCCCCAATTTTTAGCTCTCTTTTGTGGTGTAATCTTTCCTCAGATGTTTGATGGCCCTCGACTGTGTGCTCATCTTTGTGACTGAGTGGCCATTGGGGTGCCCACTTTCTGGAAGGTGGTTTGTCCTAAGGCTGCCGTCAGGGCAGTGGGTTGGAGGGTGAGACACCGCTAGGCGGGGTGCCTCTGGGGCTGGCCATCTGGAAGGTGAAGCTCCTGGTCCCTCACAGACCACCTGTGATCCAGAGCACGACCCGTCTCTCTCTCTCTGTGTGACCCATATGCACCACTCCTGGGGACAGCCCCCACTGCCCGTGGCTGGTCAGCGGAGGTGGGAGGACAGCTGGGACTCTGCGAGACCCCAGTTCATCACTCAGTGGGCTGTTGGCAACCCTGTCCTGCTTCCCCTCTTGCACTGTGGGTGTAGAGCCCTGTGTGTGTGGTATTGTTGACTCATGCCTTTTCTCTTTGCTGTTATTCATTTGACAGAGAGAGCGAGCGAGCGACAGCACAAGCTGGGGGAGTGGCAGAGGCAGAGGGAGAAGGCAGGGAGTCCAGATGTGGGGCTCATGGGGCTCCATCCCAGGACCCCCGGGTCATGACCTGAGCCAAAGGCAGATGCTTAACTGACTAAGCCACCCAGGCTCCCCTCTTTGCTGTAATCCTAATTGCTCTGTATCATTCAGGGTCTTCTTGTAGTTTCTGTCCCTGATAGATCCCCTTCTTGCTTTCAAATATCTCTGTTTTCTTTGTTTATTTATTTATTTATTTATTAGATCCCCTTCTTGCTTTCAAATATCTGTTTTCTTTGTTTACTTTCTCTGTTTTGTTTTTTAATTTTTATTTATTTATTTATTTGACAGAGAAAGGTCACAAGTAGGCAGAGAGGCAGGCAGAGAAAGAGGGGGGAAGCAGGTTCCCCGCTGAGCAGAGAGCCCGACGCGGGACTCGATCCCAGGACCCTGAGATCATGACCTGAGCGATTTTTTTCTTTTTTTAAAATGACATCTTTGTCATTTGGAGGGTTTTGTGTGGGATGGGGAGGCTGGTGTATGTGCTTCGTGTACCCTCCTGAAAGCAGAAGTGTGACCTTTAGGGTTCTATCATGTTTCTGGCGACCTGGGTTCCTGCACCTTTCCCACCGCTTCTAGGATCTTTCAGACCCATGGTTACACACACCTGGGGAACATTGGGGTTTTAAAGAACTACAGGGAAAGGTGCTCCGCTGACGGGTTTCCCTGAGGAGTGCTCTTCCCTGAGACCTTGGAGGGAAAAGCAGGAGCCGGCCAGGGAAGGAAGCCTGGAGAGGGCCAGACGGATGCCACCATGGGTAGCGCAGACCTGTGGGTGCTCGTGAGCGCATCTGGGGGGAGGGGGTGGAGTGGAATCCGAGCGGCAAGAACAAAGTATGGGGAGTCCGGAAAGGAGAGGGTCCCTGTCAAGAGAAGTCGTGGAACTGCCTTGTCATCTTTTAGCCCTGAGGCCCCAGCATCCTGCTCCTGCAGCCTGGGGAGGACACAGTCCGCAGCCACTGATCCAGATGCCTGCGGCGTTCCTGCCCAGTTAATGAAGCTCCAGCCTCCCACACAGGGAGGTCCTGCCAAGGCTCGGCGGGAGGCCGAGCGGGGGGCACCCTGTTAAGTGTTTATGTGGTGGCATGTTTTCCTGAAAATACAAAAAAGTAAGAGGATTTCTTAGTTTTATTTGAAAAGGATGTCCAAATTAGATAAGCATTGGACCTCACAGAGCCTGAATCTGTTCCCGACGGTGTCATCAAGAAAGGAAGGAGCTAGGAGCACTGCTGGCTCAGTCCATGGAACGTATGACCCTTGACCTTGGGGTCATGAGTTTGAGCTCATGTTGGGTATAGAGACTACTTAAGAGATAAATTAATTAACCAAAAAAAAAAAAAAAAGGAACGAAAGAAAAAAGGAGTTAGATCCGGTTAGCAGGACAGTTGGATAGATAATCAGGCTGGAGAAAGAAATATGGATGAGGATAAATTCACTTAGGGAAGACACATTGCAGTGGGCAGTGCTGGCCCTGAGGAAGCAAAGTTAAAAAAGATCAGATGGTCTTAGTGGGGTACAAGCCGAGCTTCTGCCAGTGATGCTCAATGCTGACGGGTCAGTGACTGCAGCCGTGACTGATGGTGTGAATGTGGTTTGGGCTGTTTTTCAGAACCAGGCAGCTAAATGGCACCTGTGTCGGCTCGGTGGACTTGGAGCTCTTCCTCCATTATTCCCTCATCCCATCAGTAAGTAGAAGCAGGGGAGAGCATGGAGCAGACTGGGTCACTCCCATACACAGACTCCCAGAGAAGCCTGAATAGGTCAGCAGAGAGACATCGGGTAAATTTCCTCAACTTGCTGTCTTGCATTATGCACCAAAAAAGCAGGCAGAAGAAGGCTTTTTAAGGCCAAAGAGTCAAAGACACTGGTTTTTAGGGGAGTAAAAAAAAAAGCTCTTCTAAGGAAGCGATGATAGCTGAGGTCTGCTGGGAGATGTGGTATAGAGCCTCTCAGGCAGGCAGGAGAGCACGTGCAAAGGCCCTGTGGAAGAGGGGAATGGGGAGTGTGAGGAGCTGAGAGGACTTGTGTGACTGGAGTAGGGAGCTGAGGTGGAGGTATCTGGGATGTGAGTGGACCTGGGTCCGGTGGAGCCCTGTGGGGCTCTGTGTGAAGGAGTGGTGTCTGCACTCCAAGTGCAGTAGGGAGTAACGACTGTTTCCAGCACAAGGCTGGTGTGATCAGATTTCTGTTTTGAAATGATCTTTCTGGTCGCACTGCGGGAATCACATAGAGGTAGGCCAGAGAGGAGATGGTTACAGATTTTAGCTCATCCTGGATGGTGGTGGTCAGCTTAAGACTTTTGGGAGGAAAGACAATAGGACTGGGTAATGCATCGAATAGAGAAGTTAGGGAGAGGAAGAGTTGAGGGGGTGTGGGTTTCATCACTTGCACAGCCAGAAGAATGGCAGTATCTGCCATTCACTAGTTAAGGAGAACCAGAAGACATCAGGGTTTAGGGTGGTTGAAAGAACAGGGCAGAGAAGCAAATCATGAATTCCATTTTAAGACATACTGAATTTAAGAAGCTTTCAATACATCAAAAAGAAACGCCAACTCTGTAGTTTGATGAACAGTTATGGAGCTCATGGACAAGGTCTGGGCTGAAGAGTCAAGCATGTGAGTCTTCTGTGCATTGATGGTCATTGAAGGCATGGATGTGGGTGAGAGGATCCGGTAATAAGGGGTCCTTAGACTGAACTATGAGGCATTATGAGGAGCACTTTAATAATCCAGCAGAGGAGGCTGAATGGTAATGGAGAACACCCAGAAAAGCACAGCTGATGGAAGCCTAGGGAAGAGGGTGTTTCTAAGAGGAGGAGGTGGTCAACACCATGGAACATGGCTGAGAGATCAACCAGATTTGGGCGTCAAGATTCCATTGGATTGATGGTAATTTTTTACTTTGGCCAGAGGTGTTTCCATGGATGGGGGTGAAGCCAGGTTAGGGGGTTAAAGAGCAAGCGAGAGGCGAGGAAATGAAGGCAGCGAGTGTAGACAGCTCTCAAGAGGTTTCTTGTAAAGGGGGAGAGACAAGGGGTATCAAGAATTGTGAATATGATTGAATCCACAGGAGGTTAAAAAAAAAAAAAAAGAACAAAGAAGGATTTGTAACCTGACAGGGTTTATCCCCTTTTTGCAGATGAGGAAATGGAAATCAGCGAAGTTAGGTCTCTCTTCCAGTCAGTCTGTGGGGGAGACGGGATTTGAACCTGTTCAGGGCAACACAAAGGTAAGCTCAGTACAAAACTGAGCTTTCTGGAAGCTCAAGAATGCATGTAGCCAGCTCCCCGCCTCGGGGGTCTGAGGAGTCACAGACACTCCATGCCCTCTGCTCACCACACGTTTTCTTTCAGGGAAGGCCCCGTGGCCACGCTGAGGATGAATGTTCCCACTGACGCTCTCCTCTTCTCTTCCCGTAGCTTTTCATCATTTTGATCTTGTCCTTTCTCCAAAGACGAGAGCACCGTAAGCAGAGAGAGGACACTTCTCACCTCCTGGGGAACCGCTTTGAAATCATCATGTGAGTGGTCGCCACAGCTTGGGGAACCCTGTTGCAAGGCCAGCACAGCTCCCCGTTTCCGCTCCAGCCTTGCCTCCTCTCCACCCCTCCTTCCCCTCCCTTCCCCATCCCTGCCCAGCTCTGGAAATTCAGAATTGGCCTCCAAGCCAGTGTGGCCTCAGCACCCAGGGCTGCCCAGATGTGATTACAACGTCTCAGGGAGGCTCCGCTCCCTGTGGGAACGGCCTTTGCACACCCAGCACTATGGCGGCCTTGGGAAGCAGGAGGAAGCGAGCTCTGGGTTGGTCACCAGCAGCAGCAAACATTCGTGCTGGGATGGCACCATGGGTCACACACCAGGAGATCCCGCCCAGACGAGGCTGCTTTCAAGCCCTTGCTGGCTCTGCCATCCTGAGTCTCTGCACCCCTGATCACATTTATCTTTATGCTCTAATCATTCATATCCCTGCCACATCATCCTTTAATAATTCATAATAATAATGATGATAAAGCAGATAATAGTTACTGCACAGTGACCGTGACCCAGGCACTGAACCATTAGCTTTGTCTGTATTACTTGGACGAGCCTTCTTGCGGACCTAGCATACTGGAGGTTCTTATCCTCAGGTCATGGATGACAGCCCAAGTCCACACAGCTAACAAGTGACAAGAGATTTCACTGAGGTCTGCTTGATATTTGCTCTGATTCTCCCAGTGTTGGAGCCTAAGCAGGCTCGAGTGTACGAACACACTAAGGTCTCCACCTTGGGCTCTGGCGAAGAGAGAGGAAGCAGGGCATCGAGACCAAGGCTAGCAGTGACCTATGGCTTCAGGGTGACATAGGGAGGCCCTGTGCCAGCTCTGAGGAGCAGACTCATTCTGGAAAGCACCCACTGAAGGGGTCAGTTGCTCCCGAAAGGCCAGGCCTGAGCCCCACTGTTTGGGGTGCAGAGCCAGACTTGGCCGTGGGCGTCTGACAGGCGGGCTGGTGCGGGACTTTTTAAGAAGCAGGATTTCCCTATGGGTCATGTTGAACTGCTTCGACTTCAGTTGGTAAGGGCACAGCCTTCTTGCTCCCTGGCCACTTTCCCATTAAAACCCCCGCTTTTCTGAGGAGTTCTGTCAGGCCCACCGTCTTCACGCTTCAGAAGCCCCTCGCTGGTGCGTGGCACACCAGTTTGCCAAGCAGTTCTTCATTTGCCACCCATGGCGTCACTGCCATAAGCAGAGCGGGGGCTCCATCTGTCTGAAGGATCTGGAAACAGTCTCACATATTTCTGAGGTACCACAGGTGGGACTGACTGAATTTGGTTCCCGTCCACAAAACGGGTGTTGGTGAATGTGCGCTGAGCACCCACTCTTTTCAAGAGCCTGTACTAGGTACCCACCCCTTGGAGCGTATAGTTTTCTAGACAAGCAGTAGTGTGTGAAACACGGACATGCCCTTAGGGCTGAGGGGACACAGGCAGGGCAGCACCTAAGTGGGCCTGCTGGGAGGGGTCTGGGTGATAGTGGGGGGGCTTCCCAGAAGAGGTGCTCCTTGAGCTGGGCCTTGAAGGACAGGATGAGCAAGACTAAAGGGACAGGAGGTGAGATCCAGACCCTGGCCCCAGGTCCCTGCCTCCACGCCTTGCTCCCAGTGTTTTCATCAAAACTTGCTTCAGATGGTCCTTTGACGGGAAAGTCCTCTCTTTTTTCCAGATGTGGTTGCTGACTTTGATCTGGACAGAGCTATTTTGGTTAGAAGAAACAGACATCCTATAAAGCTTGTTTTTGTAGAAGGGTAATAAAGGATTTTTATAAAGTTACAGAGATTTCACAGAATCTGGCAAGGCCAGCCTCATGGCTGCTGGTCTCCTGAGATGGTCATCTCTGAGAGACTAATTCTGTTCTTGCCTCCCTGTGTCACAAGAGCCCCTCAGCACCATTTTATTATTGTCCTCTCTGCTATCTGCTTTTATCATCTGATTTAGGATCCTTCCTTCCCTAAAACCTCCATTTGCCTCTAGCACCAGCTCTGATCCCAATGTGGCATGACTTTCCAAAACAGAATTTTAACAGCTGACTGGCCCGTGTCCTCAGGGTCAGAAGCCCAAAATCCAAGACCAGGTGTCTGATTGGCCCACCCAGGGTCAGGTGGTCACCCCCTGGTCCAATCAGCTGTGGCCAGGAAGGTACGCTTGCGTGGAACCCGCATGGCTAGTGCTACCCAGACCTCTCCAGGGATGTTGGGGGCGCTCCTAGCAGCCGGGCACAGGGCAGGTTCCCCCAGGCCTGTCGAGCACATAGTCCTTGTTTTGGTCTCTTGAGTCACACTGCCTGTGTCTCTCATAGATGAAACTCATCCTATTTTGTTTGTTCTCATGGTTATTAGTGTCCTTGCTTGTGTCCCTTCCCCCATTCTCCTCCCCAGGACTTGGAGCTCCTCAAGGACAAAGATTTTGGTCTTCCTCACTTCGGTACCCTGAATCCACATTTACCCCCAGAATTGGCCCTGAGGGTCTCAGAAAAATGCCAGTTGAAATGAAAAATTCACGACCCAATAACCCCTTCTCAGAGTAGGATTGATAATTTGGAGGTGAACTGTTGGACGGAGCCACGGTCTGGCCTCATGAGCTGTTTCCCTCCTTCACAGACCTCTGGACTTCGTGGGCACCTTTAGTAACCGATGGTCCTATGGAATCGCCTTTGGGGCCACAGCCAATAAGGTCATGTTCTTGTTCTCAGAAGGCTACCAGCCCTTGCAGATCCCACAGTGGGCCCAAGGTAAGGGCTGCCGCATACCGGCCGGGATTTTTGCCATGGCAAGTCTTGCTTTCAGAGAACACATGCAAGGGTTCCCAGGGATCGGGATAAACGTTATGAGCCATCAGTGTTCCTCCCTGTCCGTAACCTCCCCAAGGAAGATGCGTCATCTGCCAGGTCTCAAAGCTTTTTTGTGTGGCTTTCTTCCAGGGAGAGTCAGAGTTCCTTCAGATAGAGAATAAAGGTTTAAAAAGTGGGTTCACCATCACCCACCCCTGAAATTTCAGTCCTGAGTCCTAGGCATGCTGCCTTCTTGATATCAACAAGCCCTGGCATTCCTCCTCACAGAACAATGCTTATTTCTTTGCCATTGGTCTGAGGCCCCTTCATTCCCCATGTCTCTTGTTCTCCCTGAAGGATCGACTAATTTACAGAATAGGCCGTCCCAGTACAATGAATGACTCCAAGCCTCTCTGCCCAGCTGGGTTCTCTCTGAGGGCCTCCAGGCCTGTATGAGCAAATGCCTGTCAGCATCTCATTAGTCTTCAGGGAAATGCAAATGACACTGAAATGATATGCCACCAGACACCTCTTTGATGTGTACAATCTGATAAGTTCTGACAAATGTTGACATCTGTGAAATCTGGACCACAATCAAGACAACGAACCCCATAAACTTCCTTGTCATCTTTTGTCATCTCTCCTTCCCACCCTATTCCATCACTGCCCTCATCACTGATCTTTTTCCAGAATTTTATATAAATGGAATTATACAGGATGTACTTTTTTATTTTGGTGTATCTTCTTTCACAGAATGTAGCTATTTTGAGATTCATATACCTTTAACCTTTGCCAGAAATTCATTCTTTCTTATTGCCAGGTGGTGTTACACTATATTGAGAAAACAGACTTTGTGTGTGCCCATTCACCTTTTTTTTTTCTTTTTAACAAGATTTATTTATTCATGACAGAGAGAGAGAGCGCGAGCGAGCGAGAGCTCCCGGGGTGGGGATGGGGAGGAGACGGGGAAGGAGATGGAGGGAAAGTCTTAAGCAGACTCCGTGCTAATTGAGTGGGGCTCAACTCCATGACCCTGAGACCTTGACCTGAACGGAAACCAAAAGTTGGAAACCTTGTAATTGGCCATCCCACCGGGGGGAAATCCCCTCTTGATGGACATTTGATTTATTTGCGTCTTTAGCTCTTGCAAATAAAGCCACTATGAACATTTGTGCACAAATCTTTGTGTACCTCTGCTTCTGTTTTCCCTGGGTACGTACCTGTGAGTGGAATGGCTGGATCTTCATGTAGAAGATCACACTTTTTAAGGAAATCGTCAAACCGTTTTCCAAAGTGATTGTTCCATTTTCGATTACAACCATCAGCATGCAAGACTTCTACTTTCTCCGTATCCTTGGCAACACGTAGTCAGTCTTTCTATTTTTTATTTATATTGTTGTCAGTCTCTTTTTATTTTTTCCCCTTCTTTCTCAGCTTTTATTTTATTTATTTTTTTAAAGATTGCTTATTTATTTGACAGACAGGGATCAAAAGTAGGCAGAAAGGCAGGGAGAGAGAGAGGAGGAAGCACACTCCCTGCTGAGCAGAGAGCCTGATTCAGGGCTCTATCCCAGGACCCTGGGATCATGACCTGAGCTGAAGGCAGAAGCTTTAACCCACTGAACCACCCAGGTGCCCTTTATTTTATTTTTTTAATTTTTTATGTTCAGTTAGCCAACATCTAATACATCAGTAGTGTTTGATGTAGTGTTCAGTGATTCCTTAGTTGTATATAACACCCAGTGCTCATTACGTCGCATGCCGTCCTTAATACCCATCACCCGGTATGCTTCTGAAACCCCCACCTCCTGCCTTCTGAAACCCTCAGTTTGTTTTGAGGAGGAGTCAGTCTCTTTTAAAAATAATCTTTGGGGCCCTTAGGTGGTTCAGTCAGCTAAGTGCGTGACTCTGGATTTTGGCTCAGGTCATGATCTCAGGATTGTGAAATCGAGCCCCATGTCCGGCTCCACACTGAGGGTAGAACCTGCTTAAGATTGTCTCTCTCGGGGGTTGCCTGGGTGGCACAGTCAGTTAAGTGTCTGCCTTTGGCTCAGATCATGATCCCAGTGTCCTGGGATTGAGTCCGGCATCGGGCTCCTGGCTCAGCGGGGAGCCTGCTTCTCCTTCTGCTTGCCACTCCTTGGGTTTATGCTCTCTCTCGCTATCTCTGTCTCTCTCTTTGACAAATATAAATAAATGAAGTCTTAAAAAAAAGATTCTCTCTACCCTTCCCTTTTCCCCACCACACTTTCAGATAATAAATAAATCTTAAAAAAAAAAAAAAAAGATTCTCTCTCTCCCTCCTCTACCCCTCTCTGCCACCCCCACTCATGCATGCACTGTCTCACTCAAAAAAAATTTTTTTTAATTTAATTACATTAGTTTAAGGTGTCCAACATAGTGATTCAACATCTCGGTATGTTATGCTCTGCTTACCGCAAATGTAGCTCCCATCTGTCATTATGCAACGCTATTATAATGTTATTGACTATATGCCCCATGCTGTGCCTTTTAGTCTTGTGGCCTTTTCACTCTATAACCGGCAACCTATGAGTCCCCTTCATCCATTTTGCACCCCCTCTGGCAACCATCAGTTTTTTCTCTGTAAATATTCTGCTTTTCGTTTGTTTGCTTATTTAAGAAACAACAAGTGTTGGCGAGGATGTAGAGAAAAACGAACCTTCATGGACTGTTGGTGGGAATGTAAATTGGTACAGCCACTGTGGAAAATAGTTGGGAGAGTCCTAAAATATTAAAAATAGGATTACTATATGATCCAGTAATTCCACTACTGCGCATTTACCCAAAGAAAATGAAAAACATTAAGCTGAAAAGATAGAAGCACCCTGTGTTCATTGCAGCATTATTTACAGTAGCCAAGATATAGAAGTAACCTAGGTGCCCATCGATAAATGGATAAAGAAGTTGTGATACACACACACACACACACACACACACACACACACACACAGAGGACTATTACTCAACCATAAAAAGGATGAAATCTCACCATTTGCAACAACATAGATGGACCTAGAGGGTACAGTGAAGTAAGTCAGACTGAGAAAGACAAATACTGTATGACTTTATTCATATGTAGAATCTATAAAACAAATGAATAAGCAAAGTCTTTTTAATTTTAGCCATTCCAAGAAGCATGTAGTGCTGTCTTATTGTGGTTTTAATTTGCATTTTCATGATGACTGAGGATGTTGCGCATATTTTCATGTGCTTATTTGCTAACCCTGTAGCTTCTTTGGTAAAGGGTCCGGATCACTTTCATTATTTACAAAAGTGAGGGGTTTTGTTTCCTTCCTATTGAGTTTTGATAGTTCTCTATCTCGTTCTGTGTGTAAGTCCTTTATCAAATGTCTGAATTGTATTTGCTCCCAGTCTATGGCTTTTGTTTTCATTCTACCAACACTTTATTTTGAAAAGCCGACTTAAAATTTTGATGAAACCTAATTTATTCATTTTCTTTTATGGATCATGCTGATGGTGTTCTAGAAGAAATCTTTTCTAATCTAAGGTCATTTAGATTTTCTCTTGTGTTTTTTCTGGAACCTTTATAATCATGATAGTTTGCACTTAGGTCTATGATACATTTTGTTAATGTTTTTTGTATAGTATGAGATAAGGACTGAAGGGTTTTGTTTTTATTATCGTTTTTGTTTTTTTTTGCTTTTGGTTATCTTTTTTTTTTTTCAATACTATGTATTTCAAAAACCTGTTCTTTGCCCACAAAATTGCCTTTGGACCTTTGTCAGCATCATACGCATGGATCTGTGTCCGGACTCTGCTCTCCTCCATGGATCTACAGCATGTGGGGGCTCCGATCTCTCCACACCCTCCCCAACAGTATTTTCTATTTTTAAAACAATGACAGCATCTCAGCATGGGTGAGGTAGCATCTAATTGCCATCTGGATTTGCAGGTCCCTAAAGACCAGTGCTGTGGAGCAGCTGGCAGGATCAGAACATCATTTCCTGCTTCGTGGCTCGAGCTCCCTCTCTTCTATTGTCACAAAGTGATCATAGAGCTGTATCCTCCTAATACCCTGAGCCTTCCCCAGTCAGCTTCTTCCCTCCGCTGGCGTCTGCACCCTCGGTTTCCCAGCTCCTAACGTTCCTCTCCCTCTGGCTTTAGAGTCGTATGGGTCTGCAGGCCGTCTTCATGGGGGCTGTGTCGCGGGAGCAGCCTGAGATAGTCTGCAGAGCGAGGTCAGGGCCAACAGGTTTTTCTCACCCGTGATTTGCAGCCTTTGTCACCTGGTCGGCTTTCAGCTGGGATTTCAGCTTCGGTGTCTTGTGTCTGCTGGCAGATTGGGGCTGTTCTGTTCTCGGGCCTTCAGACATCCCATTGCCTTCCTCTGCTTCCACGTATTCAGATGTCGAGACCAAATGGCCTCGAGACCTAGATTTCTGGTAGATGTTTTCTCTGGGTTTGGTTTTGCCGTCTTAGTTGCCCTGTCTGCCTCTATGACAGGTAGATTACAAAATTATGCTCTTGGGGCTTCTTTCCTCACAAAAATTCTTCCTCATATATGGTCCTGTCCTGCTGACCACCCACCCCTCACATACCCATAAATACTGACCAGCCCCAACCGGCCATCTCCTTCCCATTCTGGGAGTGAGGAATTCCCTTCCTTCCCTTCTCCTCTCCATCTTACAAACACCTGCTTGTATTTCCTGGCCTTGCTAAATGTCACCACCTCCAGGAAGCCTTCCCTGATCGGGACGCCAGGTGAAGTCAGTGGCTTCCACTTCTTGTCCCCACAGCAGATTGACTGTGCCTCTGTTAACACACCACTTACCTTCCTCCCTGTCTTCTCTACTAGACAGCAAGCATCTCAAAGCAAGAAGCTAGTTCATTCCTCCTGTAGCCTTAGTGCCTGGCTCTGGACCCAGCTTAAAGCAGATACTTCGTAAAGGTCATCTTGCATGATTAGATTTTCCTGGACCCTGTTAAACCCTCTAAGAGCTAGTCAGTGGCAGAATGAATATCATGATCGCCTCATCTAGGACAGGGTGGTTACACGAGGCTTTGTGCACACACATCACCTCGCTTTGTGTTGCCGTGGTCCACTCCCGGTGCTTTACTCTTGGTCGTTTCTGTTTGTCCCTTTACGTGGCCTGTCTGTACCTCACGCTGTGAGCTGGCCAAAGGCAGGGGCCAGGTCTTCTCCATCTCAATACGTAGTCAGTGCCTGGCATGGAAGAGGTCCCAGGAAGGGTCATTTGCAAGGGGGAAAGACATTCCTGCATTCCTCCTTGCGGAGCTGGGGCTTGTCATCGCATCTCCTTGGGTCCTGAGGCCTGCGACCCAAAGTCCCTGTAAAGCCCCATCGCTTCCATGGTACACGCCGAGCCCGTGAGAAGAGGACTCACGACATCTCTCACTCTGTCTCTCCCAGCCTTTGTGCTGCTGATTGGAGGCATGGAAGTCGGCCTGTCCCACTTCCCCTTCTTCGCCTGCCTCTCTTCCGAGTTCCAGCTGCTCAGCTCTGTCCTTGGCTTCAGCTACTCTCTGATCTGGTAAGACGGATGCCGCCTGCCTGCCTTCCTGTGATTGCTTCGGCCGTGGCTAACCACTGGACAAAGGGCTGGGGGTAATTTGGGAGCTCCCCATGGAGGGCTTCTTTGCCCAGACCTGAGCTCAAGATGGGTGGGTGGGGTGACTGGTCGCAGTCCCACTGGGGCCTGTCTGTGGGACTGCACGTCAGGCTGCGGAAGGTCGGTCCACTGTGCTTTCTGCTTCATGAGCCACTTGTGATCAGAATGTTCCCCAAAGTCAGCAATGGAGCAGACTTCATTTCTGTAAACTGCCCAGAGTCCTGGTGGGGGGGATGTAGGAGTCCCATTTGGATGCTGCTTCTCTGTGCTGTCCTGTCTCCCCTGGGAGCCCAGCCAAAAGTCCGTGCACCTCAGCTTGACATTCAGGGCACTGCGGGCAGGCCTCCCCTGTCTCTCCATCCCCCACAGTCTCCAGCACACACCACTGCTCATGCCAGACTCCTGCGTCCCTTCACCCACCCGCTTACTCCCTCGGCAAACACCCTATCGTATCCCTGCTCGGAGCCCAGGAACACGCGGGAGAACAGGCCAGTCCCTGTGGATCATGTGTTCTGGCCTCTTGGTCTGTATCTTGCTGTTGCCCCTGTGGACTACCATCCCCGACTCGATCCGGTGGGACACACAAGCCCATCCTTCATGGATTGTCAGCCCCACAGATGCAGACCAGAATTGTGTCCTATCCGAGCGCACGCGAGATGGATTTGGTGCCCGCACTTGAGCATAAGCAGGGTGGCTGATCTGGGAGGGAGGGACACAGAGGCCTGGGCACCAGCCCTCCCAAGGAGGAGGGGAAGGGGAGGGAGTTCCAGGCTGATGGAATCTGGGCTTCTTCCTGCAGGCTATGCAGAGGGCAGCCACAGTACCCCAAACCTGTTTGTGTCCTGCAGGTTTGCTGTCACCGTCCTTTACATCACAGAGTGTCCCCACGGACAGGTGAGTCCCTGCTGAGCTAAGTTTAGAGTATTCAGTCCTGTCCCTGCGACCAGTTTGCTGTGTGACATTGGACGAGCCCCTGCCACTCTCTGGGCTTCAGTTACCTCGTGTGAACGGAAGGAGAGTTGGAACCGTTCATGGTGCTTCCATTTGTACATCTTACACTATCAAGGCACTCATTCACAGACAGAGTCCTCTCAGTTCATGTTCACAGCAGCCCCTTGAGGTGAGGAGCCTCTCAGCAGACCCGTTTCACAGGTGAGGAAACGGAGGCCAAGTGTATTAAGTAACTCTTCAGAAATAGCAGATTCGAGAGTTGAGACCAGGTCTGGCTGACTCCAAAGCTCGTTTCTTTCAATACCTTCATGTAGCCTCACTTTCTCTGTCTGGAAAATGGGAAATTGGACTGGATGAACCCTCCAGGTTGACCATGTCAGGTTGGAACTGGAGGGAACTGGTTCATCTGTTTGGCCTTGTATGTGAGGAAAAGGAGCAAGATGAAAGACGGTGTCACGCTGCATCTAGAAGGGTGACTAGGCAGGTGGGGGGAGCACCAGCGGGCCACTGGGGTTTGGAGCTGATAGGAGCCTTGCCAAGGTCTATCCTGGGCTTCACTCACTGTGGGGGACTAGAGGGTGTGAAGAAGGGAGTCTGGGGGAGCTGGACTAGAAAACGAGTTTGGGGGCCGGGCTTTCCCTCTGCATCTCTGTGCTGGGATTAAGAACATTCTAGCACACCTCTGCCCCAAAAGATACCCTCCACTCTGCTCACAGTGCCGGAGATTCCAGATCCCCGGCATTTACTCTGGTATCTTGGAGAGCTTCCAGGCTTCTGAGGTTCTTCTGAAATTTGAAATATTCGTGGTTAATTAAGGGAGAGGGCAGGGTCTTACCTCTATGCTCAGAATCACTAATGTTAAGAACTGCTGTCTGCTAGGTGTTGTTCGAGGCTCAGCCCCCCAGATTAACGAGTGCTTCGAGGCCCTTTGAAGGCTGTCTGTGGGGGCCGTCCCCAGTTCACTGATGAGAAAATGAGGCTCAGGGGCTAATGGGACTTATGGGTTAAAAATCATGGGCCTGGAATCCAGACTAAGGTAATAATAAAGATTTCGTCTCATGTTCTGAAATGTATTCGTGGAAACATTATATATAAAAATGAGACATTGGAAGAGTCTAAAAAGTCAAAAATTAGGAGAAACTTTAAAGTTGGTTCATGTATGGTTCATGTACATGGTTCATGTAAATAAGGCACTGTTATGCAGCATTAGGAGTGATGTATGCAAATAATTTGTGAGCCTGTGGGCAGCTGATTATGATGTATACAGACCTATGTATTTGGTATAAGTTCAGTTTATGATAGAGATATAAGGCTGGATACAGAGGGAAGAAACGGGAATATCGGCAGTGGTGATGTCTGATGTCTAAGCAGGGAACAGACATTAGAGAGGAGGATGAAGGGGAGACAAGAGCCCCCACATCTCAGCATGCTTCCGTCCACCTGAATAGCACGACATCAAAACCCAGCTCCCCGTGGGAGCAAGTGCTCTGGAAACACAGAAAACTGGGACGCCTGGGTGGCTCAGTCAGCTGAACTGCCAGCTCTTGATTTCAGCTTGGGTCGTGATCTTGGGGTCATGGGATGGAGCCCCGTGTCCAGCTCTGTACTGGGCAGGGAGTCTGGTTGGGATTCTCTCCTTCTCCCTCTCCCTCTGCTCCTCCCCCTGCTCAAGCACACACTCCCTTTGTGTCTGAAATAAATAGATAAATCTTTTTTAAAAATTCCACAAAACCAGACTCTAGATTGTGAAAGATAAGTCACAATATTACTTGTCCTGAAACAGTGAAAAAAATTTACAGTGTGTGTGTGTGTGTGTGTGTGTGTGTGTGTGTGAGAAACTAAAATCACAGATAAACTATGAGAACCATCTTGAGAGATCTGTACTTGGGAACTTGTGTTGCTGTCAACATGATAGCAGTTATGGGGCCTTCCTTCCTCCCTATCCTCCTTCCCACCTTCCTTCCTTCCTTCTTCCTTTGTGCCTTCCCCTCCTTCCCTCCCTTCCTTCCTTTCCTCCTCCCCTCCTTCCTCCTTTCATTCCTTCCTTTTCTTCCTTCTCTTTCCGTTCTTCCTTCTCTCTCTACTCTCTCCCTATTTTCTCCTCTTCTGTCCTCTCCTATTTCCCCTCTTCACCCTTCTTTCTCTCCCCCACTGTTGTATTTTCTGAAAGCAATATTTAATTCCTGAACAGAAGAAGCCATGAAAGCCCTTTGTATAAAATAAAATGGGGATATTAGGACTCACACCCAGTGCTGCTGGGCTGTAGGCCCCGGCAGGTGCCACAGTGGGGGGCTAGGGGAGCAGAGATGGACCCCTGGCTGCCCAGCCCTGAGAGAGTGGGCTTGCTGGGCGCGGGCGGGGGCAGGCAGATCCCTGGCCACAGCCTCACCGGTGGCCTGGCCCTGGCCCAGTGGTAGCCCGCACCATGCTCTGTTTTGGTTGCAGTTTTTGGGGAGGTTTGAGACGGTCCTGTTCTACTGGCCCTCGCTGCTGTGCCTGGCCTTCCTGCTGGGCCGCTTCCTGCACATGTTTGTCAAATCTCTGAGGGTACACCTAGGCTGGGAGCTGCAGACGGTGAGTACCGAGTAGGAGCCCCGTGTGTGTCCCCATGGGTCTGGTCTCCACAACCACCGCTATTCTTCTTCTTCTTTTTTTTTTTTTTAATTAACATACAATGTATTATTTGCATCAGGGGTACAGGCCTGTGAATCGTCAGGCTTACACAACTCACAGCACTCACCATGGCACATACCCTCCCCAATGCCCCAATGTCCATCACCCAGCCACCCTATCCCTCCCCACCCAGCCCCCAGCAACCCTCAGTTTGTTTTGTGAGATTAAGAGCCTCTTACAGTTTGTCTCCCTCCCAATCCCATCTTGTTTCATTTTTCCCTCCCTTCCCTGCGTGACCCCCCACCCTGCCTCTGAAATTACTCATATCAGGGAGATCATATGATAATTGTCTTTCTCTGACTGACTTATCTTGCTTAGCATAATACCCTCTAGCTCCATCCACCTCATTGCAAATGGCAAGATTTCGTTTCTTTTGATGGCTGCATAATATTCCATTGTATATATAGTATATATTGTATGTATATACTATATATACAGTATATATATATAATATTCCATTGTATATATGTATATGTATGTATATATATATACACACATATATATATATACATCTTTATCCATTCATCTGTTGATGGACATCTAGGTTCTTTCCATAGTTTGGCTATTGTGGACATTGCTGCTATAAACATTGGGGTGCATGTGCCCCTTCAGATCACTACATTTGTATCTTTGGGGTTAATACCCAGGAGGGGGCGCCTGAGTGGCTCAGTGGGTTAAGCCTCTGCCCTCCGCTCAGGTCGTGATCTTAGGGCTCTGGGATCAAGCCCCACATTGGGCTCTCTGCTCAGAGGGGAGCCTGCTTCTCCCTCTCTCTCTACCTGCCTCTCTGCCTACTTGTGATCTCTGTCTGTCAAATAAATAAATAAAATCTTAAAAAAAAAATACCCAGGAGGCACTATTCTTATTGCTCCAGTTCTGTGTGAGGAAACTCGGACCCGGGGAGGTGGGTTGCATTGCCCAAGGTCATATCGCTGGTCTGGAGCAGAGCGGGAACAACAGCCAGAGAGCTCGGTTGCTGAGGCTCTCTCTTAACCACTGTGCTCCATCCAGAAGAACAACTTGACCCAAATTCCTGGCCTCTGTGACAAGAGCCTGTCACGAGGATTTTTGAGCCCCATCATACATCTGTCTCTTTTCTCACAGGAAGAAAAGCCTTTCCTGGCAGTTCACCAGGCGGAACATGTCAAACGTCTCCTGAGGAAGCCCCCCCTGCAGTAAGCCACGGGGTACCCCCATTCACCCCTCCATGTTTGCACCAGTGTGGACGAGCCCTGAGGTGTGGCAGCCCCTGAGATGCCTGGAAGGGCACAGAGTAGTCAGGACTCTTGTCTGCTAATGGCAGAAACTCAACTCAAACTAGATTTAAGAGAAGAAGGAAACGTATGGCTTCCCATAACTGAAAGTGTAGAGGCGGTCAGCGCAGATGGCCATTGACCCAGTGGCTTCATTGATAAAAGAACCAGGGCAAGTTCCCTCATTTTCTCTTAGCTCTGCTTTGATCTGTGTTAGCCTTGTAGTGAGGGGGGTTTCCTCCCGGTGGTGGCCCCCAGAATCTCTAAGCTTATACCCTCTTGGTTTAAGCTCATAGGAAAAAGAAATTTTCCTTTCTAATAATTCAAACCAAAACCTCATTGTGATTCGTTGGATCACATGGGGCTACACGTCTTTCCGAAACCAATTCCTGTGGCTAGGCAATTAGAGTAAATGGATTGTTAAGCCTGTCACATATTCACCATTGAAACTAGGAAGTTGTTCAGGCTCACTTAACCACTAGGACTGATGGGAGGGAGCAGGTTCCCAGAGAAAGACTGCTGTGCTCTTACCAATACAAGAGGACATAGCTCATGGCCAAGCAAAAGCACCTGGTCTTCAGTGACCTATCCCTGCCACTGCCACCATATACAAGGGGATGTGCCCCAGAGAAGAGATGTGGCTAGTCCAAGGTCATACAATGGCAAGGTTCATACTTTGGTTAGAACTACATTTGCTCACGTGTAGCAGAAAATGGAAAACAACAGTGGGACACACAAGAGGGAGATTTCTTTCTTCTTCATGTAAAAGAATTCTGCAGGTAGGCAGATCATACTGACCCCACACTGCCCACCATGGAAGTTTGCTGATCACCTGTCTTTCAGCTGCCATTCTTAGTGATTGTCATCATGAAGGCTGTCCACGTCCAAAGTAGATGCTGGTCGGGCTCCAGCTTGGACCATCCACCATGTCTGCATTTTAGACGCTGGGCAGGAGAAAAGAAGGAAAGGCAGAGGGGTCCCTCCCAGCTGTGTCAATTCTACCTCAGCACCTTCCCCAAAATGCCATGCCACACTGTGGTCACTTCTGATCAGCCTGTGCTTGGTCTTCCAGTCTTAGCTGTAAGAGTCAGAAGCCATAGCCCTTTAGTCTGCTGAATCGCTGTATTGAGTAAAACAGTCTCTGTTCTTAAGAATGAGGGGAGAATGAAAACTGGGATCTATCAGTGTTCTTTCTCTTCCCTGCATTCTAAGATGAAGCAGCGACAATGAGGTTATTTTCAGAAGTATCAGGCATTTGCTTATCAACCACAGCCTCTCTTTTCTTGTTATTTATTAATTCACAGGGAGACTAAAAAGTCCTGGTTCCAAACCAGAATCTATGAGTGGGATCCCTGCTTTCAGTTCCCAAGCAGAATGATTGGAACCACTGTGTTGGCTTTCATATGCCTGTACCTTGTAAGTAGATCTGAACAAATCCTTTTCTGTTTCATAAATGGGGTGGGGTTAGGGCAGGGGATATTCTTTAAAAGCTAGGTCAAAACTGAATCTCTGTAAATCAAAGAAGAACAATTTTTTGACCCCTACCATTTTTACTCCAAGGATACTTTCACCCACATGGCAAATATTACGAATAAATATAATTGAATTATTTATGGAGGCTTCTGGTTATCAATTCTATGTAAAGAGTCTGCAAGATGCCACTCTATCCTAACCACAAGTAAAAACCTGAACAAACTGAAAAATCAATAGTTCTTCTTAAATGCATAAGGAAAGAGAAGTCATAGTGCAAACCATTGCCCCTAAAATTGGAGACAGACAGGTGGGTAGGAGAGCCACAGTGGAATGGAGCAAATAAAATCTAGCAATGTCTGAGAAGAATTATACACCACAATCAAGTGGGATTTATCTCAGATATGCAAAGGTACAATATTAAAATTAATGTACTCAATCATATCAGTAACTGAAAGAAGAAAAACCACATGATCCTATCAATGGATGCAGAAAAAGCATTTAACAAAATCCAATACCAGTTCACGAGAAAATTTTTCAGCAACCTAGTCATAGAGGGGATCTTTTTCAATATGATAAAGAATATCAACAAAAAACCTACAGCTAACATCATACTTCATGGTGAGAAGTTAGAAGCTTTCCCACCAAGATCAGGAAGAAGGCAAGACTGTTCCCCCTCACCACTCAACATTTACTTAGGAAATCCTAGCTAAGTAATAAGACAAGAAAAGGAAATAAAAGCTATACTGATTGGGAAGGAAGAAGTTAAAATGTCTTTGTTCACAGATGACATGATTGTGTATGTAGAAAATCCAAAGAATCACCAAAAAAACTCCTGAAGGGGAACCTGCCCGGCTCAGTCAGTAGAGCATGTGACATTTGATCTCGGGGTTTTAAGTTTGAGCCCCACACTAGGTGCAGAGATTACTTAAAGTCTTAAAAAAAAAAAAACCCCAATTCTGGAACTAATAAGTAGTTATAGCAAGGTTGCAGGGTACAAGGTTAACATACAAAAGTCATTTGCTCTTTTATATATAAGCATTGGACAAGGGGAATTTGAAATTAAAAATATAGTATCGGGGGGGGCACCTGGGTGGCTCAGTGTGTTAAGCCTCTGCCTTTGGCTCTAGGTCATGATCTCAGGGTTCTGGGATCGAGCCCCGCATGGGGCTCTCTGCTCAGCAGGGAGCCTGCTTCCTCCTCTCTCTCTCTCTGCCTGCCTCTCTGCCTACTGTGATCTCTGTCAAATAAATAAAGTCTTTAAAAAAAAAATACAGTATCGGGGCCTCTGGGTGGCTCAGTGGGTTAAGCCTCTGCCTTCGGCTCAGGTCGTGATCTCAGGGTCCTGCGATCGAGCCCCACATCAAGCTCTCTGCTCAGCAGGGAGCCTGCTCCTCCTACCCCCCGCCTGCCTCTCTGCCCACTTGTGATCTCTGTCTGTCAAATAAATAAATAAAATCTTTTAAAAAATACAATATCATTTACATTAGCATTCCCCTAAGAGAAATACTTACATGTAAATCTAATAAAAATATGTACAAGATCTATATGAGGAAAACTACAAACCTATGTTGAAAGGAATCAAATAAACACATGGAGATATATTCTATATTCATTCTTGGAAAGACTTAATATTGTCAAGGTATCAGTACTTCTCAAATTGGTCTCCGTATATCGGGATTGATCTATATTGGAATCCAGTTGCAATCTCAATCAGAATCCCAGGGAGTTAGGTTGTGGACATTGACAAAGTGGTTCTGAGGTTTTCAGGGAGAGGCAGAAGACTCATAATAGCCAACACAATTTTAAAGGAGAATGAGAAAGTTGAAGGACTGACACCATTCAATTTCAAGACTTACTGCAAAAGCTGCTCTAATCATGACACTGCGGTGTTGGCAAAAGAATAGACAAATGAATCAGTGGACAGAATAGAGAGCTAAGAAATAGACCAACATAAATACAGTCGCTTATCTTGGACAAAAGGGCGAAGGCAATACAATGGAGCAAAGGTTTTCTTTCTTTTTTTTTATTAAAGATTTTTATTTATTTATTTGACAGACAGAGATCACAAGTAGGCAGAGAGGCAGGCAGAGAGAGGAAGGAAAGCAGGTTCCCCGCTGAGCAGGGAGCCCAATGCAGGGCTCAATCCCAGGACCCTGGGATCATGACTTGAGCTGAAGGCAGAGGCTTTAACCCACTGAGCCACCCAGGTGCCCCCAAAGATTTTCTTTTTAATAAATGATGCTGGAACAACTGGACATCTGCATGCAAAAAAAAAAATCTAGACACAGACCTTCATAAATATTAACTTAAAATGGATCACAGACCTAAATGTCAAATGCAAAACTATAAAACTCCTAGAAGGTAAAATAGGAGAAAATCTAGTTGACCTTGGGTTTGATGATGACTTTTAATTTTTTTTAAATGAAATGAAATTTATTATTGTTACTATTTTTGGCGTTATCAAGCATTTATTTGAGGGACTGATAAGTGTGAATTTATGTATTTATGTATGTATGTATTTTTATTTTAATTCCAGTATAGTTAACATATTATTTCAGATATACTGTATAGTGATTCAACTATTCTATATATCACCCAGTGCTCATCACAACAAGTGCACTCCTTATTCCCCTTCACTATTTCACCCATCCTTCCACCCACCGCCCCTCTGGTAACCATCAGTTTGTTCTCTACACTGAAGTGGTGATGATTTTTTAGATATGACACCAAAGACACAGTCCATGAAAGGTTGATAAGGTGGGCTTCACTAAAATAAAAAACATTTTTACTCTGCAAAAGACCTTGTCAAGAGAGCAAAAAGACAAGCCACATTGGGAGAAAATATTTGCAAAAGACACATCTGAGAAAGTCTGTTATTCAAAATATATAAAGAGACTTAAAATTCAATAAGAAGAAAATAAATAACCATGTTGGAAAATGGACCAAAACCTTAATAGTCACCTCCCAGAGAAGATAGACAGATGGCAAATAAGTTTTTGAAAACATGCTCTACAGGATATGTCCTCAGGAAAATGCAAATTAAAACAACAATGAGATACCACTACACACCTATTAAAATGGCGAAAATTCAAGACACTGACAACATCAAATACAGATAAGAGTGTGGAGCAACAGGAATCTCATTCATTGCTGGTGGAAATAAAAATGGTATGGCCACTTTGCAAGATCCTTTGGTAAGTTCTGATAAACTACACGTACTCTTACCATGTGATCCAGCAATCACCTTCCTTGGTATTTACCCACATGCACTAAAAACTTAATGTCCACACAAAAACCTACACATGGATGTTTATAGCAGCTTTATACATGATTGCTAAAATATGAAAGTGACCAAGAACCCTTCAGTAGGTGAATGGATAAATAGTTTTTGGTATATCCAGACAATGGGATCCAATTCAGCACTAAAGTGAAATGACTTATCAAGTCATGAAAAGACATGGAAGAAACTTAGATGCTTATTAGTAAGTAAAAGATGCCAATTTGAAAAGGTCACACAATGTATGATTCCAACTGCATGAATTTTGGAAGGCAAAATTATGGAGACAGTAAAAGACCAGTGGGTTCCATGAGTTGGGAAGAGGGAGGGATGAATAGGCAGAACACAAAAGATTTTTGAGGCAGTGGAAATACTTTGTATGATACTATTATGGTAGATACATGTCATCAAAGGTTTGTTGAAATCCATAGAATCCAGGAGTGAACCCTAGTGTGAACTATGGGGTATGGGTGATAATCATGTTTCAGCTTATTATTATTCAGGTGTATTATTTAAATTTGCTTTCTCAACAACCAAAAAATTTAAATGTTGGCATAATTTTGATTTTAATATTTTATTAAGCATGGGATCAAAACATTTCATGTGGTCAAAGTTACCTGAGGTAAAATGTCTGAGTCAAAAGTGGGGTCAGCCTGGAGAGATAGAAATAGCAAGACCAAATTGTCTTCTGGATGCTACCTATATATAAATTAATCTTGTGATTGAGTTTTAAATGAATGTGTTAGGTAATGCTGAAGTACCACATAAACCCCTAAATTTCAGTGACTTAACACTATATATATTTTTGCCCATGCAACAATGATGAGTGGGTGGGGTTCGGGTCCGGAGGGCAGTGGACCTCTGCATGTTACTCCATAACCCAGATTCTTCTGTCATGTTCCTCATTATCTCCAAGAACCCTCCCATCTGCATCCAGTCAGCAGAAGGGGGAGGTGCATGGAGAAATGCATGTGGAAGGTTTTCAAAGACCTGTGTGGACTGGCACACATTCCTTCCATTCCTCTTCTGGGGCAAGAACCATGTCATGTGGCCACATCTAACTCAAGGGAGGCTGGGAAAAGTAGTCCAGCTTTGTGCCCAAAGGGGAGAATGGATTTTAATGGACAACTGGAGTTCTCCACAATGTGAATAACCAACCTGAAGTTACTGTGTTCCTTAAGTCTTTGGTGGCTCTCTACTGAATGCCACGCACCATGCTAAGATGGAAGGCTATTTAAAACGAGAAAACTCTATGGGGCACCTGGGTGGCTCAGTGGATTAAAGCCTCTGCCTTCGGCTCAGGTCATGATCTCAGGGTCCTGGGATCAAGCCCCGGGATCATGGAAGAGAGAAGACAGCGGATTTATCAGACTTGGCCTAGGAGAGGCCCATGGTCTAAGAGAAGGGGATATGATGTGGTATGAAGTACTTGCCATGTAAAGAGAGAAAAAAGGTGAAAGTGCTCTGAAAGCTGAGTGAATTATCTTAGATTGAGACACTGCCTGAAGATGGTAACATTTGGAGCTGCACATTCAAAGACAGACAAAATCTGGTTGATGAAGTAAAATGGTAGTAGGAACTCTAGAAGCTTTGGTATGATGGTAGGCATAGAGCCATGGAACCATGATGACAAGATGATGGGAGTGAGCACGTGTGACCTGCATACAGGAACCAGCACCTTCTCTAACATGGCTACCACCAGGACACCAGAAAGACAGTGAGTGGTGAGAGATACAGCTGGAATTGTCCCCAAGGTCACTCCTTAGTCACAGTTAGGCATTCATTTCACTTGGATGTAATTAATGTTTGAAGAGTTCCTTGAGCCCTTGTAGGACCTAGTCTTGTGTGCTATTGGGTGAAGAAAAGAGTTTGGGCTGACTCCAAAGAAGTCCTCAAAGAAGTCACAGTCCCGCTCATGTTGGGATAGCCACTGTCCAGAGTCTATTTCAGATGAGTTTTGAGCTTTAAAGAGTTTTGACCTCAAAACCAAAGAGAGGGCCATATGTTATTCACTTACTAGGCTGGACTCGGGTGTGACATTGAAATGTTTGCTGTTTGTACCAGTTCATTGTCATTGAGTTCTGCATGTTCGTGTATGTGAGAGACGAGCTGGATGTGTTTGAGGGGGAGCTGGAGAGCTACATCGCCTCCGTGAACCAGACGGGGACACTGACCCCAGTCAGTCTGCAAGTGAAAGAGCTGATGAGTGTCACCAAAGGTAAAACCACCACACCTCTTTTGTTGGGAAAGAGTGGGAAACTGGGAGAAGGACTTGGAACTCGCGGCAGGTGCACCCTTGGGATAATTATTTCTGTAGCATTGCCATTATCTGCATGAGGTGCCTGGTTTGGGAGACAAGTGGGTTACAACTGGTCTATGCCTCCCTGGGTGACTGGAAGGCCAGTGGGGTTGGGATCCAGGCCATTCTGTTAAAATCTGTTTGGGGCTGAATTAAACATGCCCTGAGAATTTTCTCATTTTAAAGATTTTATTTATTTATTTGGCGGACAGAGATCACAAGTAGGCAGATAGCCAGGTAGCGGGGAGGAGGGAAGCAGGCTCCCTGCTGAGCAGAGAGCTGGATGTGGGGCTTGATCCCAGGACCCTGAGATCATGACCTGAGCCAAAGGCAGAGGCTTAACCCACTGAGCCACCCAGGTGCCCCATAGAATTTTCTCATTTTAAATAGCCCATTTTGTTTTGATGCCAGTGGGAACAATTAAATCATCATCTCTTTTTCACTTTGGAAAAAATAAAACAGCAAGTCATGGCTTTTCGTTAGGGTTATATGGAAATTTTATTTCTGCTGTTCCTATGTAGTTTCTGGTTTGTGCGGACTGCTGTGACAAATTGCCGTAGACTGGATAGTAGAAACAACAAGCACTTACTCATTCCCCAGTTCTGGAGCCTGAGGAGTTCAAGGTGCCAGCAGGTCTGGTGTCTGGTGAGAGCCTGCTTCCTGATTTTGTATCCTCAGTGCTGGAGCGTAGGGAGAGGAAGCCAGCTGTCTCCTTTCTCTTCTTATAATGACACTAATCCCCAAAGCCACAACTCGACCTACCATCATGCTGGGGTTAGGGTCTTGATATAGGAGTCTGTCCAGAGCAGTCACTTCACCTTAAGATACCAGCTGTCTTTGAAAACGACATTCTAATTCTTTGTCCGTTGCCTAGGGAGGGAGGCGAGTTCTTCCCTCTTTCCTGCAAAGAAAGGCCCTAGACTAGATGTTAGGTAAACTCCCTGCCATCAGACAGGTCAGGTCCTCTCCCTTGTCCTCAGCTTCCTCATCTTTAAAGATTTTATTTATTTATTTGACAGACAGAGATCATAAGTAGGCAAAGAGGCAGACAGAGAGAGAAAGGAGGAATAGGCTCCCTGCTAAGCAGAGAGCCCGATGCGGGACTCGATCCCAGGACCCTGGGATCATGACCTGAGCCGAAGGCAGAGGCTTAACCCACTGAGCCACCCGGGTGCCCCAGCTTCCTCATCTTTAAATGGGGGCTTGGAACGGGGTGGGAAGTGGTTTCCAAAAACCTCAGTAGCATCGACATTTAATGGCCATAAATTACCAAATGTTTCTTAAGTTGTGAAACAGGTGTTGCAAATGATATTTTTACTTAAGACACAATCCAGTAGAGTACGGCAACCAGAAGGAAACAGATCTCCTGTGAATTATTTGAGGGAAATTCTCTTTCATACACGTGGCATGGAAAGTTACTTTGATGGGAGCACTGGGGTACCACCCCTTCCATACCAACATACTTCACTGTTGCCCTTGAACATTCCCATTCATCTTTAATGTAGGTTCATGCTCAGGCTGAGGAGTCCCTGAGTACCGCGCTCAGCAAGCCTGGTCTAATCTTCAAGTTCAGTCATACTGATTTTAAGTCATAGTTTTGAAAGTTTACATTTTCCCCCTCCTCTGGGCAAGTTTGTAATGCCAACCTCAGTTACTCACTCTGGGTGAACCCGGAGTAAATATATCACCATATTCACTCGTGTTGTACCCCCTCTTCCGTGTATTTCTCTCATGTTTAGATACTTTGAGAGTCAAAACATAAAATTTTCGCTCCATCTTGATCTTTTTCGGCTTTAATACCGCTGTCCCGTGGCCGAGAGAGACTTTTAGGCTTCATCTTTGAAGATAAACATTCATCTTTGGGACAATAAACCTTAAATGAAAAGTGTGCTATCAGCCATGCTCTTGCTGCGGGCTGGAGTAAGTCTGCACTCGCTCTGCTCATGGCCAGACACCTCCCATCCTTTCCTTCAAGGCTCCCTGTGCCCCTGGGGGTGAGATTTATGGGGGTTTACCCTCATCCTTTGTGATGGTTGAAGTTTGGGATATAGCCCTTGCCTAATCCTGGTGATGCTGGGACAGAAACACATTTAAAACTTGGAAGGAATGGAAATCAGCTTTCTTTTTCCTTCTTTTTTTTTTCATTTTATTTTATTTTATTTCTTTTCAGTGTTCCAAAATTCATTGTTTATGCACCACACTCAGTGCTCCATGCAATACGTGCCCTCCATAATACCTACCACCAGGCTCACCCAACCTCCCAACCCCCTCCGCTCCAAAACCCTCAGTTTGTTTCTCAGAGTCCACAGTCTCTCATGGTTTGTCTCCCTCCGATTTCCCCCAACTCACTTCTCCTCTCCTCCCAATGTTCTCCGTGTTATTCCTTCTGCTCCACAAGTAAGTGAAACCATATGATAATTGACTCTCTCTGCTTGACTTATTTCACTCGGCATAATCTCTTCCAGTCCCGTCCATGTTGATACAGAAGTTGGGTATTCATCCTTTCTGATGGAGGCATAATACTCCATAGTGTATATGGACCACATCTTCTTTATCCATTTGTCTGTTGAAGGGCATCTTGGTTCTTTCCACAGTTTGGCAACTGTGACCATTGCCGCTATGAACATTGGGGTACAGATGGCCCTTCTTTTCACTACATTTGTATCTTTGGGGTAAATACCCAGTAGTGCAATTGCAGGGTCATAGGGAAGCTCTATTTTTAATTTCTTAAGGAATCTGCACACTGTTTTCCAAAGTGGCTGCACCACCTTGCATTCCCACCAACCAGTGTAAGAGGGTTCCCCTTTCTCCACATCCTCTCCAACACTTATTGTTTACTGTTTAGTTAATTTTGGCCATTCTAAGTGGTGTAAGGTGGTATCTCAATGTGGTTTTAATTTGAATCTCCCTGATGGCTAGTGATGATGAACATTTTTTCATGTGTCTGATAGCCATTGGTATGTCTTCATTGGACAAGGGTCTTTTCATGTCTTCTGCCCATTTTTTGACGTGATTATCTGTTTTGTGTGTGTTGAGTTTGAGGAGTTCTTTATAGATCTTTCCAAAGATATAACTCACACACCTCACAATCCATCCACTTAAAGTACAGTTTAGTGGTTTTAGTATATTCTCAGCCATCACTGTTGTGCGACCAATCACCACAATCAAATGTGGAACGTTTTCATCACCTTAAAAAGAAATCATAATCATTTACAATCTCTCCTCATTTCCCCTCAACATTCCCAGCCCTAGGTTACCACTGTTTTCTGGCTCTGTGGATTTGGCTCTTCTGGACTTCTTATATGTATGGAATCCCACAATACATGGTCTTTTTTGACCGTTTTCTCTCACGTAGCAAATGTTTACAAAGTTCATCTATGTCATGGCATGCGACCAAACTTCATTATTTTTTATTGCTGGAGTTTATTCTGTTGTATGAATATACCACATTGTGTTGATCCAGTCATCGGTTGGTGGAAATCTGGGTTGTTTCAACTTTTTTGCTATTATGAGTAATATTTCTGTGAACATTCATCTCCAAGGTTTTCATATATTTTCGTATGTCTTGGATATATACCTAGGAGTGGAATTCTGGATTGTATGGTAACTATGTTTAACCTTTCAAGGAATTGCCAGACTATTTTCAGAAGCACCTGCCTCACTGTGTATTACCACCAGTGATTTATCAGGGATCCAGTTTCTCCATATCTTCACCAACACATGTTGATATGTTTTTTGTTTTTTAATAGTGATCTAGGAAGTGTGAAATGTCATCTTATTGTGGTTTTGGTTTTCATTTCCCTGATGTCTAAGGATGTTGACTGCGATGGGACTGGAGGAGATTGGCCATTTGTACATCTTCTGTTTATCTCCATGGAGATTCTTTGCCTATTTCTAAATTATTACTGAGCTGTAAGAATTCTTTACATTACACATAAATCCCTTAAAAGAGATACAATTTGCAAGAATTTTTCTCTCAGTCTGTGGGTTGCTTTTTCTCTTTTTTGACAGTGTCCTTTGAAACACAGATGGTTTTAATTTTGATGGAGTTCAGCATAGTCATTTTTCTTTCATTACATGTGTGCATCTAAGAAAATATTGCCTAACTTGAGGTCACAAAGATTTATTCTATTTCCTTTAAAGACTTCTACAATTTTAGCTTTTACATTTAAACCCATCATCCCCCTTTGAGTTAATTTTTGTATATGCTGTGAGGTAAGGTTCTCACTTCACTGGTTTCCATGTGAATATCAGTTAACCCCATGCCATTTGTGGAAAAGCATATTCTTTCCTCATTGAATTGTCTTTTTCATCCTTGTTGAAAGTACACTGATGCTAAGTACGCTGATTACTTCTGGATTCTCAGGTTATCACACTGATCTGTTTATCCTTATGGCAGTACCACATTGTCCTCATTACTGTAGCTTTGTAGTAAGTTTAAAATCAAGAAATGTGAGTCCTGAAATTTTCTTCTTCCTTTTCAAGATTATATTGCCTATTCTAGGTCTCTTCATTTTCATATGAATTTTAAGATTAGCTTGTTGATTTATGCAAAATTGGCATTGGAATTTTGAGAAGGATTAGATTGAATCTTTAGATTGGTTCAGGGAGTGTTACCATGTTAGCAGAGACCCTCCTGTACAGGAATACAGCATGTCTTTCCATGGATCGAAATTTTCTTTAATTTCTTTCAACAGTCTTTTGTAGTTTCCAGGGTACAGGTTGCACACTTCTTCTGTTTATTCTTAAGTATTTTATTCTTTTTGATGCTAATGCAAGCATATTTTCATTTTGTTCATTGCCAGTGCCTAGAAATACAGTTGATTTTTATATATTTGTCTTGTATCCTGCAAGCTTGCTGAACTTGTTTATTAATGAGTTTTAATCTTTTTTGTTTGTTCATTCCATAGAATTTTTTAAATATAAGAACATGTCACTGGTGAACAGAGGTAGTTTTATTTTTTTCCTTTGCAGACTGGCTGCATTTTTTTGCCCAATTTCCCTGGCTAGGCCCTCCAGTACGATGTTGGGTAGAACTGGCAAGAGTGGACATTGATTCTCTTATACCTGAACTTAGGGGGGAAACCAATCAGTCTTTTGCTGTTAAGCGTGGTGTTAGCTGTGGGTTTTTTGTGTTTGTGTTTGTGTTTTTGTTTTTGTTTTTGTTTTTGTTTGCAAATGCTCTGTATCAGGTTGAGGAAGTTCTCTTCTATTTCTACTCTATGAAGTGTTTTTCATTATGAAGAGGTATTGGATGTTTTTAAAATGGTTTTTGGCCCAACTGATAAACAGCTTGTCTGCAAGCTCCTCTACACATCATTCCCCTTCCCTGTTTTCTCCACCCCCACCTTGCTCCCAAGCACACAGGATCACGTGAAAGCAGATTAGATACAACATATTAAAAACTTGCCAAAAGAGGGATGAAAGACGTCAGTCAGGACCTCTTGACTCCAATTACCCTTGCGCAGGGTTGCTTTTTACCGGGGGTGGCAAAGAGAAGTCAACTATGAGTCATTCTACAAGGGTGGGAGGTGACTGGGATGTGTATACTCCTTCATTTTCTCTTCCCATTACTTACTGTAGATGGAAAATCTTAATATCAAAGGAGAGGCTTGTGCAAGAAGCAAAGCATAGCAAGGGCGTGTGTGTGTCTGAAATGAGACAGAAATAGAAGAAATAGAAGCAAAACTTTATGTACACAAGAAATGTGTTAAAGGAAGTAAAATGTATCACCCAGCTCTTTCTGATGTGAACAGCTGTATTTTGAAAATAATGTTTCTGGCTCATCTTCTCAGGCCTCTCCCGTGACTTCTTCTATTTCAGGAGTCTGGCTGGTGACCATCTTGCCCGCCTCCCTCATGTGCGTGAGCTATCTGTTCCACATATTGGCCTGTTACCGGTAAGAGGGCTCTGGGAGTCACTGGTGTGTCTTCAGCTAGAATTTTCTAGAAATTCCTGAGTAGTGACAGCAGTGCTCGAATTGAAACCAGGAATGTATATGCCATCCAGGAGTAGCCACATTTATTGGTTGTAAAACAGAAAGCCCCAAACCAAAAAATCTATTGATCTGAGCTTCTGCTATAAGCTTGACATTGTGCTTAGAATATTTTGATTTTCAGGGTGGCTCAGTTGATCAAGCAGCCATCTCTTGGTTTCAGCCCAGGTCATGATCTCAGGGTTCTGGGATCAAGCCCCGCTCAGTGGGGAGTCTGCTTCCCTCCTTCTCCTTCTCCCTTTGCTCCTCCCCTGACATGCATACATGATCTCTCTCTCTCTCTCTGTCTCTCTCCCTCAAATAAATAAATAAATAAATAAATCTTTAAAAAAATTAATTCTTTTGATTTTCACCACAACCTGAGAGGCACTTCCATCTCTGTTTTAACAGCTGAGAAGGCTGAGACAAAAGACAAGAGAACTCAGCCGTGCCATTAGCAGCTGGCCATGTCTTCTGCCCTGAGATGCCTTATCACGTCTTGTACGCTCAGCATCTCTGTTGGGGCTCAGACTTGCCCTGCTCCCCAGGACTAACCACAGTGGGTTCCTAGCAGGTGCATCTGGCTCAGGGGGTACCAAAGGAGATTAGGTCAAGGACACGGGGTGCACGAGTCTTTAGAAGAGCAGAGCAGGAGGAGGGGATGGCCTTGAATATGTAGTGAGCATTTCACTGCAGACAGTGGTTGAATTTTAGGTATTCGCCTTCTGTCCTCTCTCTCTACTCTCAGTATCTCTCTGTCTCCCAGTTCTTCCCTCACATGCAGTTACAGGAGGCCCAGGGCCATCTCTTACTGCCTCCCCTTCCCCGGAGCATCCTGCCTTTACAGCCTCCCCATCTGGCTGCCCAAAGTGTGGCTCTCTTGCAGATGGCAGGCAAGTAAGTACTCTCCTGGTACAAAGAGGCCCCAGCTCTCCATCCCAGCCCTAGCTTGCTCCCTCTCTCTGCTTTCTTGTCCCTGGATCCTGTGGGTGGACTGGACACTGCCACTCTCCCCTGCCCTCCCTGATGCAGGGATATGGCCTGCAAGTGCCTGGGAGATGATCAGTGAGACATTGGACCACAACCAGTCAAAACCACATTTTAGAGCTGTCTGCGCTGACATGGGTAGAGGGCACAGGGGTGGGAGGCCTTATTCTTGTCCAGGCTGGCCCCTCCCTCCCATTCCTGTCATGAGGACTGATGACCCCCATCCTGTCTGCTTTACAGGACCATGGGGCAAAGGAAATAGTGGATAAGAAAACGCTACAACCAGATAGTACTAGCACTGTGCTCGTATTTTTATTTCTCTTAGAATTAGTCTAATCTCTCTTTTTTTAAAAAATGTTATAAAAATATTTAATGTAAAATCCTTCTCCTATTCAGATCCCAGTTTGTTGCCCCAGAGCTAAGCATTATTCATTTTCTGTATCCTTCCAGAAATTGTCTGTGCCTTGTGCAAATCTGTGTTTGCATTCTGTGTTTGCATTCCTGGTGGCGTACTCTACTCCAGGCTGCTAAGCTGAGACCATGAAGCTCACAGATGCAATTTTGAATTTTCTAACAGACACTAACTTTTAACCTTAAAAAGTTAAAAAAAGAGATGAAAATAATTGAATATATTTTACTGAACCTAACAGAACCCCAAACCATCTTTTTGTCATGTAATAAATGCGCATACTTTTTTTTCAAGATTTTATTTATTTGACAGAGAGAGATTCAGCAAGAGAGGGAACACAAGCAGGGGCAGAGGGAGAGGGAGAAGCTGGCTCCCCCCTGAGCAGGGAGCCCAATGTGGGGCTCTATCCCAGGACCCTGGGATCATGACCTGAACCGAAGCCAGAGGCTTAACTGAGCCACCCAAATGCCCCAAGTATGCAAACTATTAATGACATGTTTACATTCTTTATTTCATACTGAGTCTTCCCAATTTAGTGGTCATAAAATCACAAAACTTCCTGGAAAATGTTGGAGATAGGATGTTAGGAAAAAGGCAGGACACAGATGAGAATGCACCATGAACATAACCATTACCAGCCTAATCTTTACTCAAAGGGCCAGGTTGAGAGCAGTTTGCAGGGGTGCTGGGAGCATGAGGGGCTGTGGTCCCTTTCTCAGTTTCCTTTATGTTGCTATAAGGTGGACCTATCATTAAATATGGGTTTCCATTATTACCTGTTTTGAAATATTATTACATAAGTAATACATATTCATCACAGAACAAATAAGAAAACAGAGCAAATTGAAAAAAATAAAAGCCGCACACAGTCTCAACTTCCACATTTAGTCGCCATGAAGACTAGGTAACTACATATTATTTTTACAAACTATATTAAGATTTTTAAATCATCAGGGATACATATGACTGTGTTAAGACCACAGTGAGGCATCACCTCACATTGGTTCGAATGGCTAGTTTAGTCCCCAAACCACAAGAAGTAGCCAGTATGCGCGAGGATGTGGTGAAAATGAAGCCTTCGTGCATTGTTGATGGGGATGCAAATTGTGCAGCTGCTGTGGAAAACAGCATGGAGGTCCCTCAAAAAAGTAAAAATAGAACTTCTGATCAGATGATCCAACAACTTCATTCCTGGGTATTTATGGGAAGAAAACAAAAACCGTATTTTGGAAACATATTTGCACTCCCATGTTTATTGCCACATTATTTACAATACTCAAGATATGAAAAATAAGCTAGGTGTCCATTGATGGATGGAAGGGGCAAAGAAGATGCGACACACACACACACACACACACAGTGGAATACCATTCAGCCATAAAAACAAATGAAATCTTGTCATTTGCAGAACGTGGATAGACCTTAAAAGGTGTTATGCTTAGTGAAGTAAGTCAGACAGGGAAGGATAAATACTGTATGATCTCACTTATATGTGGAATCTAAAACAAAACAAAAATCCAAGCTCACAGATGCAAAGAACAGATGTGAGGTTGTCAGAGGCAGGTTGGGGGGATGGGTGAAGGGACTCAAAAGGTATAAGCTTCTAGTTATAGAATAAATATCATGGGGATGTAATACACAGCCTGGTGGCTCTAGGTAATAGCGCTGTGCTTCAGATTTACAAGCTGGGGAGTATAGATCTTAAAAGCTCTCATCACAAGAAAAAAATCTTATAACTATGCAAGATGATGGATGTTAACTAGACTCATCATGGTGACCATTTTGCAATATACACTTAAATCATTATGTTGTACGCTTGAACCTAATATAATGTTATATGTCAACTATATCTCAATTTAAAAAGTATTTTGAAAGTATTTTTAAGTCTGACGAGGACGTCCCAGGAGCTGTGGTCAACACAGGGAAGCCGAGCCGGCCACCATCTCCCTCCACTGGCTTTTCTGTCTACATCTCTTGAGCTTGAAGTGCATAAACAGCCGTGGCCATGAGTATTCCTGATTTCCCACTTTTTCCTCTAGAAAGCACATGAAGAGGTTGTGGGCAGGAAAGAAACACTTTCTCCCTTTGAAGTTCCATAATCCTTCCTCGTCGGAGAGTGTGGTGAGTTCTCTGAGGCCTCTCTCTGCTCTGAGACCGAGGGGTTGGCTGAATCCTGGTGTCCTGCAGCTGGGACAGGGGCAGCAGCCTCTGGGAGGAAGAGCCCGGACTGGGAGTCCATGGGCCTCACTTCTGCTGCTGGGTGAGCCTTCTGGCCCTTGGTCTCCTCTTCTGTAAAACGATGGCAGTCATGACATCTGTCTTGGTGTATGGGTCGGTGAACCTCAGATGAGGCGGGGACGCTTGACCCATGTGTTAGAGGTGATCAGTGTTTTCTCCCCTCTGAGGCCCTTTTTCTTTTTAAATTCCAGGTGGCCATTGCAAGGTACTCTGGCTGGCAAATAGCCTACATACTGTGGGGTAAGTGTCTTCACGTGACCTGTTGTAGTTCAACACCCGTTCCCCAGGAGCCTGCAGAGTCCTGGCTGTGGGTAGAGAGAAGAGAGATCGTCCCAGGCAGAAGACACAGCACAAGCAAGAATGCCAGGACCTTCAGTGGGAAGAGGCTGGAGGGGGGACTTCAGGGAGGGCCAGGTATGACCGGGTCACGAAGGGCCTCGGGTGACTGTGCGTTCCCTTGGCCCCCAGGCTACCTCATCATCCACGTGGTGCAGAGCCTCTTTGGCATCCTGATCATGTACAGCCTGGTGTTGCCTGTCATCCACAACCAGGACCTGGAGATGCTCCAAGGACTGGGCATTGGGACGTAAGTGCTGGGCGGGCTCTCTGTCCGTGCCCGGGGCCTTGGAGCTCCTGTTCAAATTGCCCCTTCCCTGTTGGGATCTCACTAATTCCTGGACCCACGTTCTCAGCTCTGACCCAAGGATGGGCCAAAATAGCAACTCATCACCATGGGAACCTTACGGTTCACAGACTGTTTGCATTCTCGCTGGTCAGTGGGGGTGCTCACAGTTGTGTCTATGGGGGAGACATATGTGTCCATTTTATAGCCGGGAAGATTGAGGTTCAGGGAGGTGACATGAGAGTCAGGGCAGTATAGTGGAAGGAGAGAGGAGAAAACCTGAACTTAGGTTCTCGATCAGCTGTGTGACCCTGGGTGAACTGCTTCTCTGAGCCTCAGTTTACCCCTGTGGAAGGTAAAAGTGAAGGTTGACATTACTGAGAATTCACTGTGCATCTTTTGTCTTAGGAACCCTTGGAAGGTTGAGTCTCATATTAAGGCCCATTTTTCACACAAGGAAGCAGAGGCACAGAGGCCTCACCAGTATGTCCAAGGAAGGGAAGAGGCAGGATTGGGAGCTAGCCACCTGAAGCCGAGGCCCCATTTAAGCGCCCCGCACGGCCTCTCGGGGAAGCAAACACAGGACATGGCCCTCTCTGGGAACTCCTGCTCTGAGCTCCTTGGTTCCATTCTCCCCTAGAGCCATGTGGGAGGCTGGGCAGAGCCTGCTTGTCCACTCTCAGGGCCTTCATGAACTCTCAAAAAACCCCATCCTTTTCTTTGATTTCCATGCTGTTAAACACGCAGCTTAGCGGTCACATGTAATTAAATCCTGAACTTCCGATCTGGAGTCACAAGACCTGACCATGCGGCTTTGAGAAAGCCGTCCGCCCTTCGTGAGCCTGTTTTCTCATCAGACAGTGGGTGTGAGAAGGCTCTGGAGGCATAAAGCCCAGAGCCGGGGCTCGTGTTGTCCCAGCAAGCTGGCTGGTCCCTGTCCTCTCTGTCACTGGGCACCGGAGGAGGGCTTGGACAAGGCCACCTCAGGACTGTCTCGCCCTGTGTTTCAGCCTCACCATAGCCATCGTCCTGGGTCTCATGGTCCTGCAGGTGTGGATTGCCGCCACCTTCTTCCTGCAGCCGAAGATGAGCGCAGCTGACAGGCAGAAGCCCCTGGCGCTCAACAACAGGTGGGGTAACGAAGGGAGTGGGGATCGGAGGCTTGGATGTCAGCAGCCTCTCGCTCCTTCCTCTTCCCCCTTGGCAGGTTCCTGGGCGGACGACACTCTCCCTGAGAGGGCGAGGGGTGGTGGTTTGGGAGCGGCCTCTGGGACCCAACTGCCTGGGTCCAAATCCTGGCTCCCTTATGGGCGATGGCACTGTATGTGGTCTTCCAGAACACCCATGAATGGTAGTTTCTTCATTTTACAAATAATTGCGCACCTCAGAGAGGTATTTGGAGCATGAACTGTGTTCCATTATGCACTTAGAACAATAGTGCCTGGTCCGACGTGCTCCTTTGTGGTTCACTCATTCAAAGCCCTTCACTCAGGGAGGAAACAAAGCCGGCACTAAGGATACAGAGGTATCCCTCCATGACCGCTTGCAGAAGCTCCCCGTCCACCGGGGCCAGCAGACACAGACACATGGCGACAACTCCGGGGTGAGGGGTGGTTGGTAACAGCCTCATGAGAGCGAGGCAGGTAATGGAGAAAGAGAGACAGAAATGGGTCATTCAATGGCAAGTGGGACGTTTGAGCTGAATGCAGTAGGCTGGTGGGATTCCGGTGGGTAACTCTGAGGAGAATGCGTGACCAGCAGCCCTCGTGGTCCAGATGGAGGCAGCTGGCCACGAAAGGGCAAGACGTGTTGAAAGAACAGTGAGAATTCAATATGGCAACCGTGAAGTGGCCTTGGATGGTGAGGGGCAGACGGGGGGTACAGAGTGATGACCCCAGGAAGACCCCTCCTAGAGATGGCCCAGACATCCAGGATGCCCGAGTTGGGGCCTTATCCCACCCACGGGCAACAGGAAACCACACAATCCAGTGGTCCTCTAGGAAGTTTCCCCTGGAGGACTTGGAACAGTTCCAGCGGGGGAAGGGGGAGAGGAGCCGGTCATTATGACAATGGACAGTGGGAAAGCCACAACCTCTGCTGTAACCACAAAGCCAGCTGTGGCCATGAGATTTCTTGTGGTACAGGAAACCTTAAAACCCAAGGATCCCATGAAACATCACAGCCACCGTTGACAACCTGCACTGTATCTGAGCTCATCCCCAGACCAGTGCTGTGTGGCCGGGACAATCACGTCACACGGCTAGGAGACGGGAGTTGCAGGGTTTTACCCCAGGCCTGGGGCCCTGAGCCAGCATGCACAGCCGCCTCCTCCTGCTCAAAGCCTGCTGCCCCTCTGCCTGCTTCTGTTTGCAGGAAAGCATTCCACAACTTCAACTACTTTCTGTTCTTCTACAACGTACTGCTGGGCCTGGGCGCTTGTCTCTCCAGGCTGCTCATCAGCTGCGTCCTGGGCACATGGCTGATCGCACGCATTGACAGGACCATCATGCAGAATGGCTATGAGGGAGCGGACATGGGTGAGTGGCTGATCCCCGGTGGGTATGCATTGAGTCAGGGGCGGGGGGCGAGGGGGGCGCTGCTCTTGCAGCTTTCTGGAAGCCGCCGGCCGTTCGGGTCCCGGAAGCCTGGACTTCACACCCTCCTCCTGCCCAGAACTCAGCTTTCATGGAGGCTCTAATGCTGAGCAGAAAAAAAGCATTCAGCCTAATAGAAGAGAATTCAGGCTAGTGAAACAGCTGCATATTTGACAGACCTTCCCGGTATCATGGAGAGCAGTAAGAAGTACTAGAACTCCATCTGAACAGTTAGAATGTAACTAATTTACCTGAACATTTTGAGGAAGAATATGTCATAGAATTAACAGTGTCATTAGCTGGAAACATAGTTAAGAAAATGGTCTGTCCTGATGAAAAGACTCCCAAATCAAGCCATTTCTGTAGAGCAAAAATCGTCTCGGTTTTCTTTCTGACCTGTGTCCATTCATTCACTCCCCCATTGCTTGTATGCCTGGCAGCCTCTCCGTACAAGCCACGGCGTTCCTCCTGCTTTCGGCTTAGGTCTCTGCAAAAGGGATGGATTAGAATGATAGCCTGAGAACCCTTCCAGCTCTTTGTACCTGATTTTCTAGATTCTCAGTGAAAACAGCACTGTTGAGGAACAACGTGGCCCAGGCTCGTGCGTCCCGGGACAGGACAGAGGGCATGCTGCCCGGCCTGACTTGCCTTGTGCGTTTCAGGGTTCAGTGCCTGGATCGGCATGCTCTATGTGGATCATTATCATACCAACCCTGTGCTCGTCAGCTTCTGTAACATCCTGATCACAGGGCAGAGGGAGAGGAAGCTGCAGCGGGCCATCAAATACTGGTGCCTAAATCAGTCGACAGGTAAGCCTCCTGTTTGAACCTATGCTGGGGTTGGACAACAGGCAACGAGGACCCTAAGGCTTCTCTGGGAGCCCCAATGACATGGCCCAGCTTCCCCCTTCCTCCATACTCTGTGCCCTGGGGAGCCCTCTACCGAGGAGACCAGGAGGCTTAGCACGTAGCCAGCCTGGCCAGGGGACCCTGGAGGCCTGGTGTCCTTGTCCTTCTAAGTGGGTTCCTCCCATGTTCCCAGGAAGGAGCCCTAGTTCTGCTGTCTGTGTCCTCCAGTCCCTTTGTTTGAGACCTCACCCATATCCCAGGCTTCATGCCAGACGCCCTCCAAGATGGGGCTCGGTTTAGTTACATCAAGCTCTTCTGGCTACCATTCTCTGCTCCCTTGAGGGTCAAAACTGTCTACCCCACCCCTCCCACCCTTATTACTCTGCTCTGCCTTCTGCTGGGAAGCCCACCAGTTAGCCACGTCTTGTGAGCACTGGTCTGGACTACGTTCGTCACTGTTCCTAACTGCAGACATCCAGCTTTGGCACAAACTCACATCCCTCCATCCGCCCTCATGTCCCCAGAAGTCCCCATCCAGCTCCTTCTCCTGCACCCCACACCTACCAGTCAGCTTCTCCTAGAGCTTCTGAGAACAGAGACAAGCTGCCCCATCCCCCAAGTCCATCTGCTCTGGTTCACTCCTAGGTCCCCGAATCTCAGCCAGGTCCAGGACGAGGTGGCTCCTGCTGCAGACCCTGGTCAACAACCCCAGACTTGTCATGCTCAGAAAGGCAAGACAAGGTCACGGCTCCCGGGACTTTACCCAGATCCTGCTGACGTGCTCAGAGAGCTGACAGTAACCAACCGATGTTGCTGCAAGGCCATTCCAGCACAACTGCCCCTGAGACGAGGCCCAGGCTCCCAGCTGCTGTCCCCCACAGTGTGAGAGGATGCAGTCACTGTCATGGGACAGCACGTGGGCTGAACCACGAAGTCAGGTCTAATAATCCAGTCCCTTGGTAAAAAGATCAAGAACTAAAGAGAATTTCTGTTGAACAGTCTTTTCTCAATAATGATTTCCACTATCCATGGTTAGGAGGTGGCGCTGGGGATTTCTGTACGGACAAGCACTCGGTTTGACTACAGGATAGAACTTTGTGAAGAAAGTGGTAAAATGTCTACACCAGGAGAACTTAACTGTTTAAAACAGTTTTTCTCTAGAAGAAAGTGTGGCCTTAATCCAACAGGATCCTCATTGTTTCCCCCTTTCCAGGCCTTCTGGTGATGTAGACAGGGCCTAAGCAGGGGGTGTGTAGGGGCATTCTGGGGGGTCAGAAGAGAGGCAGGGGGCTGGTTCTGGGTCTCTGTACACTTGGAAACCCTCCAATTCCATCCAGATCCTATCTATCCTCAGAGATGGGTGTAAATAGCTCCCCCTCAGGAAGTGGGACTTACCCCACCCACCAAATGGATGGGTCTCCACTTCTCTGCTATCAAACTCCCAGGGAGTGTCCTGCCTGGGGCAGGGGTGGGGGCTCTGATTCCTGCTCCCCCAAACCCCTGCAATACTCCCCCTGCAGTGAGTTCGAGAGAGATTCACCTTATTCCTTTTCTGGGGGTTAATGTGGTTCCCCTGGGAGGCAGACAGCCAGGGTCCATCAGAAAGAGGTCCCCAGCCCATAACTAGCCTCCCTTCCCCACCCCTTCGCAGGATGCACTACTGCCGAGGCCCTCTAGGGGGCAGGGCATGCACAGATAACAAGACAGGGACCTTTGCCAGGCTCTGGGCCCCAGAGAAGGTGGGAGGTGAGAGTTGAAGCTCAGGGAGGAGCTAGCACAACCCACTCTGATGACAGGGAGACTAAGGTCTCAGGCAGGAAGTGACTGCCCAGCCACTTAAGTGTCTCCTGACTTGGAGGAACCCCACATCTCTCTCCCCTCCATGGGCATCTCCTGAAGGAGAGGCTGAGTCCCACTCGGGCAGCTTTGCTGTGGGGCAGCCCCGGGAACCATGACATGAGGCTTATGTGGTGCCTCCACTCAGTCTTCCCTAAGAGGAGCATCAAACCCCAGCATGGGAGAGGCCTGCCAGGTGCTGTGACCTCAGGACTCAGTAGGCAGCTCTCTCCTTCCAAACCCTGCTGTCCTGCCCCCAGGTTCTCTGGCTTCCAGATAATCCTGCATTGCAAGGTCAGTGAGAAACATGCCAAGGAAGGGGAACATCAGGGCAGGAGTGGGGATGAGCTCTGGCTCTCAGGTGCCCCCAGGGACTGTCCCCTGAAAACGCCTCAGCCTCCACCCCAGGGTTCCCATGGGGAGCCCCCTAGTTCTCTTCCTGTCCCCCTCTAAGAACACCAGACCCCTACTAGTCCCCTCTCAGGGCCTGTTTCTGGCAATCCCCAGGTATGTGGTCCTGGGTCCCAGTCACTGCTAATGGGGGGTTTCTGACACCGTGGCGACGGGAGGTGGAGCTGGAGGGGGAAGGCTCCACCCCCTTGGTGTGGAGACCTCTCTGTTTAGGAGGCCCCTCTCCGCTGACCCTGGGCCCCGTTCCCCACAGGTGTCCTCACCTTCTGCTGCTGCCTCTTCTGGGCTTTCTGGGGCATCATCCACAGTGGCAGACTTGGAGATCCCTTCCTGCTAAGGTCAAGGACAAGGTCAGTGAGGCCATTGTCCCCTCATCCCATTTCTTCCAAGATTCCCTCATACCGTGGACAACTGACCTAAGTCCGTGACTACCAGTGCTACTCTGTCTTCTAGAGTGCTCTGATTCTAGAGCAATCCTGGCTTGGTACTCACCTAATATGTGGCCTCGGGCCTGAGCCCTGGCCTCCTGGGCCTGTTTCCTCATCAGAGGAGTGTGAGGAGAACTCCACCTACCTCACAGGGTCTCCAAGGATTCAGTGTCATATTACTATCATCATTGATCTCCCCGCACACCCCAGCACATTCCTCTTATCCCTTCAACCTTATCATTACCGGGTCCTGTGAGGCCTGCACCACGGGATCATCACCTTCCACCTTCCAGATGAGGAGACAGAGCCCCAGAGAGGGGCAGTGATTCTCTCAGAGGCCTACAGAGGAGAAGCCGCTCCCATCTCCAGGCAGAGGCTGTGCCTAAGCTGCCTTTCCCCCAACCTGGCCCCATCACTGACCAGAGTCCTGTCCTCTGGGCTCTCAGTGTGAGTCCTGACCCCTAGCTCCACCCAAGCTGTGGATGAAGAGGGACAGGGGTCTTGGGAGCCTGGCTGAGTGGCCCCTGCTTGCCCAAGCCCGCTGGGATTTCTGCCACCCATGCTGGGCCTACAGCCACACCGAAGGCTTTGCCTCTCCAAGATGACCCTCAGGACGTTGTCCTGCACAGCTGTCTTCCTTCTTCCACTCAGAAAGTGGCTGCTGAGGCGCCATCTCTGGCTGACGGGGGAGGGAGTGACCAGAGCATAACGTGAGAACACCTTGCTTTCTCTGTTTGAAGCTTCTGACTTCCATCCAGGAAGGATCCACAAAGAATCCATCAGTTCCCCAAACACTTAGAAGGTATCTGGGACATATGTCATGTCTGGGACATCTGGGACATATGTCAGCTAGACACCCAGATGAGACTCCTGACTGACTGATTGGCAGTGATGCTTGAGGGGCAAAGTAGGAAGTCACAGAAGGCACAGCTACAGGTCCCTGGTGCCGGCCATCTGCACCCAAGCCTAACAGCCATTTGTGTACCTGGCGCATGGGATTCCCCTGCAGCTCCCACCCCAGTGCAAGCAGGATGCCCTCCTCTTGGAGATGAATTCTGGAGGAGCAGCAAGGGTCTGGCTTCCTGAGGACAGGCTGGGCTTATTTAGGGAAGAAAGGAACCCCCACCGGCCCCCAATAGCCTGGAGGAAGCTAAGTGCCAGGAGGATGGACCAGCATGGAAGCCGGACTCCTGCTAATTCTCCCAGCTCAGAGACCCCTTCTGGAACAGCCCAGCTACCACCACTGTATCCCATGACCAGGGCCTTCTGCCCGGCAAAGTGCCCCCCACCTGCTTATAGACCAAACAGCACCTTCTTTCTGTTAATGTAGACAAGACTGGAATTTTTCAAAGATACTTTAGATGAGAAATAAAACCACACCCTACCTGGTCCCCCTCCCCACCTCCTCCTCCTCTCTTTCCAGACCTCCAGCTCCACTCCACCTGCCTAGTGAGTTGTCTTTGCTACAAAGCTTTTGAAGTTTTCAGGAGCTCTTCCTGAGGGGAAGAGAAAGAACAGAAGGAAGGAAAATTGGGGGAATGATGGGAAAGCTGCGAGTGTCAATACTTGTTATTTGAGTACCCAAAAGATCAAAACTGTCCAAATTAGGGTTTCCACTGGTTTCCTCTGAGCTCAAAGGGCTCCATGGGCCTGGGAAGGGGAACCTTCATACTGGTCTTCATGCTGGGGCTCCCATTCTCATTTCTTCTAAGCAGCATTGTTTTGACTGGTTTTGGTTCCAACTGGACGTAGAATTTGTTGCCATAAAGTGAAAACTTGAAAATCTCCAGTTTGGCCCAGCCCAATCTCTGGCATTGGAGGGAACGGATTCCTGAAGCAGAGCTAGTGGTCTAAGCTTCCAGGGAGGCTGAGAGGCTCCACTCCCAGCTCAATCCCTGTCCCCAAGGTTGGCTGCCTCCCAGAAGGTCCCAGCTGAAGGAAGGGGCAAAGCCAGCTCTGCAGGAGATTCCTCATCCACCCTGCTCCTGTGGAGAGAGGCCTCCCATTCTGGAAACTTCTCCCCATGTCTTCTTCAGACAACGTATGGCACGCAGTGAGAAGTTCCTGAGGACCCAGCTTTCCTGGAAAGGGGGAGAGAATGAGCTGTGAGGGGAAGCTCTGCTTTCTCTAGCTGAGCCCACCTCACTGTGCCCAGCTGCTCACTGGACCAATGGTTCTGCTTAGGTGAGTTCTATGTAATCCCACCACGTGCCACCTCTGAGCATCCCAAGACCTCTGGAGCCCCACGGGTGCCTGCAATAAGGTGGGTCCACGGGGTGCTGGACCTGGTGGGCTGGAGACCCTGGGGAGGAAAGAATTACTTTTCTATTTTCCCCCTTTAACTTTAGAATGTATTGTCAAACGTTTAAACTTCACAATTTTGTCATATTATGACTAAGCCTGAGCCTATTTTCACATATTTAAGGCTATTTATATTTCTCTTTCTATAAACTGTGGATTCATGTCTTTTGCCAAATTCCCCACAATGTGTCTGTTCTTTTCCTTATCGGTTTCTAGGAACTCTTTAGGTATGAAGGATGAGAGCCCCTTTGTAATATGAATTGCAAATATTTATTCCCAGTTCATCAATTCTATTAGGACTTTTTCGTCGGTTTGGTGGTGTTTTTGTTTTTGTTTTTGGTGTGTGTTTGCTTGTTTTTCTACATGTCATTAAGATGTCATTTCTCCCATATATTATATGTTTATAAAAAATAAAATTAAAAAAAAAGGTGTCATTTCTCCCAAAACTGATGTATAGATTCATAGAGCCACAGTAAAAGTATGTCAGCAGATATCTGGTGGACATTAACTGTACGCTTTCAAAATTTCCATAGAAATACAAGTGGCCAAGAATAGTCAAGACAATCTTAAAGAAGATCCAACTTGGAGGGCTTACACTACCAGATGGTAAGCCTTAGTATAAAGCAACAGTAATCTGGACAGTGAGCTATAATAGTGCAAGGACAGACAGAAGGAGCAACAGAGTCCAGCTGAGACCCATACATATGAACATCTTGTAGGTGATAAATGGAGAGAAGATAGTCTTCTCAGTAAATGGCCCAGGGTCACTGGTTATCTATATGGGAGCAAAATTAATCTGGACTCCTACCACCAATCCC